AAAAGAAAAAATATGAGAAAAGGAAAAAAATGGAAACAAAGTCTTTGCAAATAGGAAAGGGTGGAGAGGGTGAAGGGAGGGCAGTGGAAGGGGAAAAAAACAAGAACCAAGACACCCATGTAAAGGTACAAGATCCCAATGAATGTAACTGTATTTTTTTTTTGGTAACAGGGATCGAACTCAGGACCTTACGCTTGCAAGGCAGGCGCCAGCACCACTGAGCTAAATCCCCAGCCCTGTAACTGTATTTTATACCTAAAATGTACCAATAAACTTAATGGGGAAAAAAAAATTACTAAGCAGTTTGTTCCAAGTACTGACAGATTTCACCACATAGTAGTTAAATTACATTTGTAAACATCACTGATCTCATTACAAGTTACACAGTGGGATGCCATTGAGCTCATGGTGCTAGATATGTTTTTCAATGTTCTTTATAGTCTGAATTTTATCATTTTCAGTAAACATAACCCTCAATTCACCTGAGTAAAGTATCTGCCAAATTCCCAAACAGGACTGCCCGTCAGCCACTTCACAGAAGTCCCTGGAGAGGAGCTGCTCAGCTCACAACTGCACAGGCTTCTGCAGCAGTGGTGCAGGCACTGAACACAATCCTCTGCACTATCTCATCGATGACATTTGTGAACAAAACTAGCTTTCGCAGGACCTCGATGGCTGTCTCCAGGGCTCAGCACCCTCAGTGGAGGTCAGCCCTGTACCAGTCTGGTGTGGAGGAATTTCTGACCCAGCAGCTGAGGTGTGGGCACTGCTGGCCCTCAAGGCGCTCACGGACTGAGGAGCGGACAGCGATACACAGGTGCTGGCACCTTGATGCTTCCTTATCACTGTCACAGCACATGCTCTCTACCTCACTTGCCTTTCCCTCACAGTATTCACAATCACTGTGCAATCCCTACTTATATCCCCAAAGCCTGACAGAGCCTTGCATACAGGATGTGCTCAATTAGTTTTTTAAAACACTGTACACAAGCACACTGGCATTTTTCATAATAGTGATCTTTAAGCAAAGGTCAGCCAAGCAGAAATTCACAAGAGTGAAAGGAAAAGCAACTGAATCCATCCCCTGCCACAGGATGTGATCAACCCCACCTTGTATTCATCCAGCCAGACGTGCGCCAGCCTCAGCGAGTTGTGTGTCATGGTGTCCTGGCCTTCGGGAGAGCCATACGGCCGCCTCTTCCGGAAGATGTGTCCTACTCTTGAGCAAGGGATGATAAAGAGTTTCCCACCACACATCCAGATCTGGCCAAAAGCAAAAATGCATTAACTTTGCCTCCCTTTGATGTGAAAATCAAGGGATGAATTTTCATGAAATTAATCATTAATGAGGTATCTGTGAACTTGGAAAGATTTTATGTTACTAGATACAGTTCAACAGAAGAAAGAGGAGGACATTTAAAAGTTATGTCTTTCTCAAATGAACTGAATTCTACAAAAATGTAACAGTCATTTGCTACCATGTGTCTGAAATTTTGCTTCATGGTTTCTGTTGCCGTAACAAGTTAAGGGACCTGATTGTAGGGAGTTAAAGACAAGAATACATATTACCCAGTCCTCTCATTTCTGTTTTTAGGGTAGTTTTTCCTTATAAAAACTACATACTTATTTTAAAAAGTGTTTTACAAAATACATAGACCAGATTGACATTCAAAAGACCTTAGTTCTGGTCTAAATTTTGCCCTTTGATTATGTGAATCACTTTAAGATATTTTCAGTTTTGGTGGGATTCCATTACCTTATCTTTAAAAGTGACAACTGGAATAACATTCCTTTCAACCTTAAAATTCTAAAAATTATGGAAAACTACATGAGTACTGTGGAATTATGTGACAGGGATTCTGCTGCCTGGACAGGGTGTGGGAGGTGGGGGAATGGGACACCCACACATAGTGCTTAAGTATTTCTGCAAGCACAAGGGCTCCCCCTGCACTTCTTCCCTTCCTGAGTTCACATTTCCTTCAGGGTTCCAAGTCACAGGTCCCACCCCTACTGTCATCTTCCTAAGAGGAGAGAAGGTGGTAAAAGAGAATTTCTTAGGTCAGAGGCACCTGTGTGGTATAAAGGACTTAAGCTTTACATTGTGACACCATAACATAAGCATCCCGTGGGCTATTTAGGAAAGTGACATGCAGAGCTATTAATCTTCCCAGGAGGAGATGTGAACCACGTTGGTATTGGCTAACAGTGAAATATGACCACCTTACTGTATACAGCCAGTAGATCAATAAAATGAAACTGATAAAGAACAAAACTCTACATTAAATGCACATTAAGACTTCCTGAAGTTATACCCAACCATTCATTACAATTAATTTAAAAATTATAAAATAAATGTATTCTTACATGCTTTTCAATAAACAGATAATGCATCACAGATTATGGTAATGTACCATTCACTAAGGAAAATTTGTCAGTAAAGACAAAGAGCATTTACAGGAAATATGGCATGATGGATGACAATAACATTACACCACACACAAAATAAATACAGAAAATTACCCGAAATGATATTTCCAGATTTTCTCCTCCCCAGATATCCATACCACTGTCATACTGACCAAGCTCATTGAAATACTGTCTGTTCATGGCAAACAGTCCTCCAGCCATTGTAGGGGACCTAGAAAAGTAATGCCTGTTTCAATCTTACTTTGTTTGAAAAAAATTCAGTTTAACAGTGGAACATAACACAATAGGTTATTATGAAACATTTCTCTGAATATCAGGAAATGAACTAGGCCACACACCTGAAAACATCTAAATTGCTAATGAAATAAAAGTAATCTTTACATCCAAATACCTAAGCATCAAAAGTATTTCTGGAGCAGAGAAAGAACCTCCCTGGGATTTGGTGTCCAGACAATGAACTACAGGGGCATGAGGAGGAGGAAGAGGAGGGAAGTGGGTCCCCAGGCCAGGAAGGATCTGAAGTGAGAATTGAAGTCAACGGAGAGAGCCATGAGAAACTTCAACAAAAAAAGGGGAGGTGGCAGGTGGTGCTTTGTCCCAGAGTCTGGACTTATGGTATGTGAAGGGTGGGTTGAACCTGCGGACACACAGTGACTACTGGTGACCCCCAGAGGCCTCCATGGAGAAAGGCACCAGTGCAACAGAGCAGTGGACGGAGGGGACTGCAGTTGCTGGTGAGTTATTTGGGTTCAGATATCACCCAGGAGAGGGCGATTGGCCAGTAGCCATCTTAGAGAGGAGTCCACATGTATTGTGAACTTCTTTTATTAGGTATGTAAATAAGATTAATAGCAAAAGAAACCACAAGAACTTCATAAACACATGGAAATTAAACATGCTCCTGAATGACCAATGGGTCACAGATGAAATTACAGAATAAATTAGACAGTTTCTACAATTAAATGAAAATGCCAATACAACATACTGGAACTTACGGGACACAATGAAAGCAGTCCTGTGAGGGAAATTTATAGTGGTGAATACCCATATCAGAAAAAAAGAGCAAGCTCAAATAAACAACCTAATGTTGAAGCTCAAGCTTCTAGAAAAAGAAGAGCAAGTCAAGCCAAAAACTTGTATGAGGGAGGAAATTATAAAGATCAGAGAAGAAATTAATGCAATGGAGACTAAGAAAACAATACAAAGAATCAATGAATCAAAGAACTGGTTCTTTGAAAGATTAAATAAAATTGACAAACCCTTAGCCAACCTTATCAAAAAAAAAAAAAGGAAAGAAAAGACTCAAATCCATGCAATTAATAATTTAAAGGGTGAAAAAAAAAATGAAAAGGGTGAAATCACAACAGATCCTGCAGAAATCCAGATTGGTATATACCTCAAGAACCTGTATTCTAATAAGATGGAAAACAGAAGAAACAGATTCCTAAATACATATAAATTACCAAAACTGAATCAAGAAGATATAAAAATTCTAAACTACTATCAGTCAGCGAAATTGAAGATGTAATTAAAAACCTACTAATAAAGAAAAGCCCAGGCCCTGACAGATACATTGCTGAATTCCACAAGAAATTTAGAGAAGACTTAATGCCATGATCTCTCAAACTCTTTAATGAAATTGAAAAGGAAGCAATACTTCCAAATTCTTTCCTAGAAGCAAGCATTACCTGATACCAAAGCTAGAGAAACTATGAAACTATGCTAGAGAAACTTCCAACTATGAAAGAGAACTACAGGCCAATCTCCCTAATGAACACAGATGCAAAAATCCTCAATAAGATACTGGCAAACTGAATGCAGCAAATTATCAAGGTTATACACCATGACCAAGTTTGATTCATCCCAGGGAATGCAGGGATGGTTCAACACACCCAAGTCAGTAAATGTAATACACTATATTAACAGAGCCAAGGACAAAAACCATATGATCCTCTCAATAGATGCAGAAAAAGCATTTGACAAGGTCCAACACCAATTCATGATTAAAAAAAAAACCTACAGAAAATTCAAATAGATGGTCTTTATCTCAATCTGATAAAAGCCATCTATTACAAACCAACAGCCAACATCATACTAAAAGGACAAAAACCAAAAGTTTTCACTCTAAAATCAGGAATAAGACAAGGATGTCCACTGTCACCACTCTTATTCGGTATAGTTATGGAAATATTAGCCAGAGCAATTAGGAGAAAGAAAAAAGAATAAGGATAGAAAGGAAGAAGTTAAATTATCATTATTTGCAGATGACATGATACTCCACATAGAAGATCCCAAAAGCTCCACAGAGACCTAGGTTTAGTAACCAAATTCAATAGTGTAGCTGGATAGAAAGTCAACACTCAAAAATCAATAGCATTCCTGTAACAAATAAACTCACTGAGAGAGAAATTAGGGAAACAACACCTTTCACAAGAGCATCCAAAAAAAAAATGGAATACCTAGGAATCAATCTAACAAAAAAAGTAAAAGAACTCTACATTGAAAACTACAGTACTCTGAAAAGGGAGATTGAAGAGGACATCAGAAAATGGAAAAATATGCAGGGGATTTAGCTCAGTGGTTCTGCCACCTACCCCCCAAGTGCAAGGACCTGAGTTCGATCACCAGTACCAAAAAAAAAAAAGAAAAAGAAACTGGAAAAATATCCCTTGTTCTTGGGTAGAAAGAACCAATATAGTGGAAATGACCATACTTACAAAATTGTTATACAGATTTAATGCAATCCTAATCAAAATTCCAATAGCATATCTCACAGAATTAAAAAAAAAATTGTAAAATTCATTTGGAGCCAGAAGAGACCTAGAATAGCAAAGGCAATTCTGGGCAACAAAGGCAAGGCAGGGGCATCACAAGCCCTTACCTGAAATTATACTACAAACTACTGTGATAAAAACAGCATGGCATTTGACCCAGCTATTCCCCTGCTGGTAATCTTCCCCAAAGAATTAAAAGAATCATACCACAGTGATATATGTGCGCCCATGTTTATAGCGGCACAGTTTGTAATAGCTAAAGCTTGGAAACAGCCCAAATGCCCATCAACTGGAGACTGGATAAAGAAGATGTAGTTTTTTTTATAAAATGGAGTACTACTCAGCCACAAAGTATGACAAACTAGAGACATTTATAGCTAAATGGATGCATATTGAGGCCACACTCTTAAGTGAAATAAATAGGACACACATGTGTCAATACCAAAAGTTTCTCTAGTGTGAGAAACTGAAAGTGTAAATAAGGATTAAAATGATTAAAATGAATAATTGATAATTTGAAATAGGAAAAGGTCCAAAGGTGTAGGGGTGGTGGGAGGGGAAGGGGAAAAGAAGGGAAAGGAAAAATTAAGAGAAAAGAAAACAAATGGAAACGAAATCTATGTAAATAGGGAAGGGTGGAGGGGGTGAAGGACGCACAGGTAATAGGGAAAAAAATAAGAACCAAGGTACACCATGTACAGGTACAAGCACCCAATGATAAATGTAAACGTATTGCATACCTAAAATGTACCAATAAAAGAATTTTTTAAAAACCCAGCATGGTACTGGAAAAAAAAAAAAGAGATCTGAGGAAAAATGGAACAGATTAGAAGATGCAGAAACAACTCCAGACATACTCAACCACCTTATCTTTGACAAAGGAGCCAAAAACCTTCACTGGAAGACAGATAGTCTCTTTAATGGTGCTGGAAAAACTGGCTTTCCAACATGCCAAAGATTAAAACTAAACCTGTATCTTTCACCATGCACTAATCTAAGATCAAAATGAATCAAAGATCTAAATATTAAAAGAGAAACACTAAATCTGCTGGAAGATAGAACAGGTAGAACTCTTGAGGGCATAGGAGTAGGCACTTCATGAACAAAACCTCAGTCACACAGGAACTATCACAAATAATTGACAACTGGGATCTCATCTTACTGAAAAGCTTTTACATGGCAGGAGAAACCACTAACAGTGAAGTGATAACCCACAGAGTGGAAAAAATTTTTTGCCAGCCATTCCTCAGGCAAAGGACTACTACAAGAACTCAAAAAAAATCAGAACTCCCAAATTTAAAGACCCAATCCAAAAAATGGGCATCTGAGATGAATACACACTTCTCTGATGAAGAAGTACAAATGGCAGATAAGTATATGAGAAAATGTTCAACGTCACTAGTCATTTTAGAGATGCAAATTAAAACAACGCTGAGATTCCATCTCACTCCAGAAAAAATGGCTGTTATCAAGAAATAAACCAATAACAAATGCTAGAGGGGATGAGGGGAAAAAGGAACCCTTCTCTGCTGTTGGTGGGAGTGTAGACTGATGCAACCATTGTGGAAATCTGTGTGGAGATTCCTCAAAATACTAAAACTGGAGGTTCCATTTGACCCACCTATTCCTCTTCTTAGTATCTTCCCGAAAGAATTAAAAGCATCATACTACAGTGATATATGTACACCCATATTTATAGCAGCACAATTAGTAATGGCTAAATCTTAGAAACACCCCAAATGTCCATCTGATGAATAAAGAAAATATGTTTTAATACAATGGAGTACTACTCTGCCATAAAGAATAAGTTTGAGGGCCGGGGATTTAGCTCAGTGGTTTCGCCGCCTGCTGCGCAAGTGCAAGGACCCGAGTTCGATCCCTGGTACCAAAAAAAAAAAAAAAGAATAAGTTTGAGACATATAGCTAAATAGATGCACCTTGAGACCATACTCTTAAGTGAAATAAATTGAACATACATGTTTACTGCATTGCTTCTCTGGTATTAGAAAGCAAAACTGGAAATAAGGATTAAAATGTACAACAGATATTGGGAAATGGGAAGAAAATGTTTAAATGAGAAGGGAAACAAAGGAGGGGGGAGGGAGAAAGGAAAGAAGGGACAAGAAAAGAAAAAGGAAAAAATGGAAACAAAGCTTTTGTACATAAGGGGGAATGGGGAAAAAAGCAGCAGCAAGATATATCATGTACTAGTACAAATTCCCTATGATGAATGTTCTCATTATGTACATCTAAAATGTACTAATAAACATTTTTCTAAAAAAACGTATTTCTGTGCCATAACTACGTTTGCTAGAAATCCACTAAAATGGATCCTCCCCATTTTCTGACCCCCACAGAGCCCCTTGGATTAAAAACTAGATTCTCGGGCCTCCAATGCAGTCTTCCCACACACTGAGTCATCAAATGTGTGAGCAGTGGCTCTCAATAGGCTGGCTTTGTCCCCCTAGCAGACATTTTGTAATGTTTGGAGCATTTTCTTAGGTGTCACAACCTGGCACATGGTGAGGTGGAGGGTCTACAGACCAGGACAATGCCAACCTAATGCACACAAGTGCAGCCCAACATACCAGCACTGAGGCTGAGAGCCCTGTTCTGGGGGTTCAGGAGGCTGAAGCAGACAGGACTAACAGGGACTCAGGCCTGGCTTCCACATGTCCTCCTCCAAAGCTAGATCGAGAGGTTCCAGGGATTTCAGTGGCCCAGAGTGCCTGTGGAAGAGAAGTGAAATCCCAACCAAGGACTGTAGAATATCTACAGTAAGCAAAAGTGAAAGAGCAAACAAATGACCAAGCGTACAGAAAGTTAAAATCACATAAAAGAAAAAAGAAACAACCTCCTCAATGTGTTCAAAAATAAAAAACAAAATTGAGAGTCTGGCAGAGAAGTAGGTACAATCAAAAGGGAACCATGTTTATTCATGTCTGAAAAACACTTCTGACAATTAGAGTCCATGAAAAAGATTATTATCTTGAAAGGAAGCAAAAAATAAAAGACACTAACTTTGCATGTGAAACAGAGGAAACCAGAAGATTCCTGATTGACACCCTCTAAATCCTGAAAAATTCCAGCCTAGATCTGGACAGTGAGAAAAACCCTTTTTAATGAAGTCAGGCATAATGGCATCTACCTGGAATCCCAGCACTTGGGAGGATCATAAATTCCCAGCCAGCCTGGTCTTCATAGTAAGACCCTGCCAATCAATCAGTAAAACAAAATCATGGTGAACCAAAGACACAGGAGAAACCAGTAAGAGGAATTAAAGGAAATAACTGAACAGTACTCCTCAGCCAGAATGAGTGACCCCACACAGAAGTGTGTCAATGTTATCAGGGAGTGACAAAGGGGAGGTGTGTGAGCAAACCTACATGAGCACAGGCTGTGTGGGAAATGCCTGCAGAGTGGAGAGTCCACCCCCACCAACAGCATCACGGAACTTGGCAGGGGATGGCTAGAGTGGGGACATTCTGAGACCTCCACAATGTCTGGGAAAAGGGCTGATTTATATTACACTTAGGTCCTCCAGGGTGACCAGTACATGGGAAGGTGTCCCTTCTAGTGATGGGGTGGGTCATAGGTAGGAACAGAATGGTATCTGGTCTTGGTCCAAGGGTAAGAAAAGAATACAGAACAGAGCAAACAAAGCAAATAGTACTATTGTAATCTCAAAAAAGAGTTTTTCATACACTGGTTTCAAAACGTAAAATCAACTGCACACGGCTGACACGGGACAGATCTAAGTATAAGACGACAGAAAGCCTGATAGTGCAAAGAGAGAAAGATGGGCAGCACAGCAACTGAAAATGACACCCTCAAATTCTTTCTCGTTCCTGTCAGCAGTCTCACACTGGCACTGAAGAGAGGGCCACAGTTACTCTCTACAGTCCAGGAAAGAAGAGCAGAAACAGCTGGCAGGAAAAAGGGTAGAAGACATCCAAGTTTCATCCTAAGTTCTTTATGACATGATCTGTTACTGATTATAAGTTTTCATTAAAAATATTAAAAGTGAAGCTATAAAAAACATACCTATGAAGATGATGAAACAGGTAAAAAGATTAAAACTGCCAACTAAAGGCTAAAGATGAGAATACATATGGAAAAGCCTGAGGTGCTTTCTTCTCGCAATGGAAAATTTTACATGTTCTGAAAGGAACTCTGCGGGTCCAGAAGAGACAAGAAAACGGTGATCACACTCCTTTCTGCCTCCAGCACAGGTTGTGAGGCCAGGGGAGCAGGGATGGATGGCGGTGCTGGCCTAGAGTGCTGCTCTCTTGAGAGGGGCTCTCTGGCCCCCAAGAGCCACGCCAAGCTCCCTGGGAGGAGGGGTGAGTAGAACCGCATCAGCCACTGCCTTTGGTAGACCAAGTGACAGTGCTTCTCACAGGAAGCCAAGGGCTGCTCCAGAGGCCTGGACATTTTGAAGGGCTCCACCAATGCCCCTACCGGACCAGGCTGAGGGAAGCAAACTGAGCTAACTAACAGACATCACACAGCTGCTGACGTAGCCTAGTCACCTGACCAGCAGGAGAACAAAGCTACAGTCTTAGCAGATCACCTACTAAGCTGAAGAGGCATGCAACTTTGCTCCTAAACAGAAGACACAAGTGAGAATGTTCTTTAATACCTTTGCTTTAATGTTGAATAAAGCACAAAAGAGCCCAACAGCCCACCAACAGACATGCATACCAAAACTCTGCTATACTCACATAACATACTATTCTACAGCAACGAAAACGGACCGACCACAGCTGTGTACCTAACATGGAAGACTTTTTAAAACAATGTTGAATCAAATGGCTTTGTTTAAATAAAGAACAAGAGTAGGCCAAACTAAACTATTCTGTTCAGAGACCCATCCAAAGGTGGTAAAACTACACAGAAAAGCCAAGACAGGTCCACCAGGTCAGGATAACAAGCCCTGATGAGATGCAAGGGTTTCGGTGCTGGGTACACAGATGTCCCCCCAGAGCCATGTGGCAGGTCATGTGCGTGTGTATACTGCAGCATGCACTTTTACCTACATGCTATTTTACTTACGTTATTTTTCACAGTAAAAGTGAAAGAGTAGGTCTGAGAACTTTAAGAACACAGACCTCTCTGAAATCTACATGAAAAATTTTAAAGAAAAGGAGAAATAACACAAAAGGAGTTATAATACCAAATATGGAACACCCATGAGAACTTAGAATGATTCACATAGAAAGTCTTAGTAATGGCACCAATAACACTCATTTTTGAAACCCTGATTAAAGAAGGCTTATGTATCACTGTTCTTCACAGCATTTTTCACACTACAGGTGGAACATCTCTCATGCAAAAATCAGAAATGCTCCAAACCCAACACTTTCTTGGTGCTGCATGACACCCCAAGTGGATAGCCCCACACCCAGCCATAGGTGACCAGTCACGGTGTAACCAAGGATACTGCACAGCCACCTTCAGGCCATGTGGATGTGTCCACATGAAACACAAGTGAACTGTTTCCAGACTGGGGTCCCATCCTGAGATGTCTCATTATGTATGTGTAAATATCACAAACTCCAGCACAAATCCCAAATCTGAAACACTTCTGATCTCAAGCACTTTGGATAGGGCATACTCATCCTACAGCAAAGAACTAAACAGGTTAATGCCCAAGCAAGAAACCACGTAGTAGACCTGAAAACAGCACATGAGGTCTCAGGGCATCCCGAGCACTTGTCAGGAGAGACCACTGCACTGCCTCTCCCAACTCTGCACCTTGTGCCCTGAGAACCCCTTTGAGTCCTCTCTCCCTAAGACTGGCTGAGCACATAAAACCTGATAAGCCCTCGGGACTTTTTAATGGGGAAATTAGGCCAGCAGTTGTGCTCCTTCCAGGGGAGGATGGATCTTTCACCTAAATTTCCTTCTCTGTGGAAGTGCTGGGGGGCTCCGAACCCAAGTCTTACTTGATCGGTGCAGTAGCGCTGTCTGCTCCTCCCAACTCAGAGAGCGGAACAAGATCCCACTTGAAGTGCAGCCCCCAGTTGAAGCCACCCCGGACGACAGGCGATGAGCTGTAGGCCAGCGTGTCGGCACTGATGATGTCGATCACCGGGCACACCACTGTGTGTGGGTCCCCATGGACGACAGCCAGCAAGGGCTGCAGCCACATCACATTCACCTCACAGTGGCTGTCCAGGAACACGAGGACTTCTCCTGAGGAGGCCAAGGGCAGAGGCTCAGGGGGGACCACCACACTCAGGCAGGGCTGGGCACAGCATGAAGAAGTGCCACTGCCTTTCCTGCCCCACCACCAAGCCAACCCTGCTGCCAGGCAAAATCATAAAATGTTACCTCCATTTTCAACTCCTCTAATAAATGTGAGCAAGAATGAGAATTTGGGGGGTTTTTTTTTTTGGTACCATGGATCTAACTCAAGACCTTGCACTTGCCAGGCAGGCATGGTGCCACTGAGCTATACCCCCAGCCTGAGAATTTTTGTTTTTGATAATTCCAAAATTCTTTAATAACTTTAAGGTTATTCTGAGCAGTTGAGACACTTCAATGCCGGCATCAGAAAGCCTAAATGTGTGTCTATGAGACCTAGCAGTGAAGATTTTACATAAATACTAAAGCACCAGATGTATCCAGTTTCAATTCATATAAAAGCAAGACCTCAGACAAGTCTTCGATGATGACAGTGAGTGAGTCATGTAGTTCAATGTCTGCAAATAACCTGAATGAGGATAGTGAACAGGCTACCACTCTCCAGCTGTCCTGGAATGCAGAAAGGCAAAATGCTCAGGGTGGACATCAACATGAAGTGAGATCAGTTCATTCAAGGTTTGGCAAGAAAAGTATACCCAGCTTTCTTCCAAAAGTTCTACTTTTCCAATTAATGCCAAATTAATAGGTCAAGTAAGATTGTATCTGGTCAGGCCGGGGATTTAGCTCAGTGGTTCCGCTGCCTACCTTGCAAGCATAGTACCAAAACAACAAACAAACAACAAAAAAAGATTGTATCTGGTCACGCTGAACCTGCCACAAGGAAGTCTTCCTTCTGACAGACCCTATACTATGTTTGAACAAGGATCTGACCAGATCAGAAAGAGACTAAACCAGATCAGAAAGATAACTAAACTATTTTTGTTTGAAAAAAACCCACAGTAAATATGTACTATAATAGCACAGTGGTTCAAATGGCACAATCTCAAGAGTAGCCCCAATTTTCTCTATCTTGCTTTCAATATCCCAACAAAGTGTCTGGCTCACCAGGCCTCTGACCAGAATCTAGGACGCTGGTTCAATGCACACAGCTCAGACTGGACCCAGAGGAGCCATTGCTCATGCTCTTCTGCTTGCTTCAGTTCACTGAGGGTTTAAGAGGGGGAAAAGATTCTGGAAGCGAAGTCCCAAGTGAACCGGCAATGGAACAGGCAGTAGCGGCCCGGCTGTGATCGCTGAATGCCATAAACCTGAGTGCTGGTTCCCTGAGCACCTTGCACATGGCAGTGGCAGGAGCTGTCTCAAGGGAACACCCCTGCCACTGTGGGTAATTCTCAAGTTACTTTCATGGTGCTTTTTGCCAGAACTACCTACAGTACTGTATTAAATACCAAACTTTTAAATGGATTCATCTGTTTTAACTTAAATTTATTTTAAAAGGAAAAATTTTTACCAGGATCATAAGAGAAAATCATGACCACTAAGATGACACATGGTTCTTTTTAGATAACCATAAAAAGAGATACCATGAAGTCAATATATATGAAGACTGACCAGGTATGTTTTTTGCACAAGACTCTGAATTTAATACCAGCTCTTTCTTTTTAGAGAGGAAGATACAGAGATTAGTGTGTGATGGGAAAGTTTTAAGATCTATTAGTAATAGCACTTTCTCCTTGATGGAATCAAAGATCAAGAGGAAATTTTTTAAAAACATCTTTCCTAGTAATGGAAGTCAATCCCATGTTTCCCTGAAAACAAAAGCTAGCTGGAAAATAATCAGCCTTGAAAACTAGAGATCAAAAATGCCAGCCCTGATCAGCCTATCCTGGCCTCACCTGCCTTACAAAGAAGCCACCGAGCAAGAGAACAATTACGGAAGGTGAGGCCAGGATGGGATGACGGGGCCAGCATTTCTGAGCTCTAGTTTTCAAGGCTGATTATTTTCCGGTTAGGTCTTATTTTCAGGGAAACAAGGTCTTAGCAACTAAAATCATGATCACGTCTCCAGAGGTATGTCTTCTACACTAAGAATTATTAGCATAATCCAAGCAAACAGTTTGGGTTCAAATACTTGAAGTTTTGTATTAAAAAACAAAGCTCAGTTACATTTTGGCTTGAACTTTTCTGCTTACACACCAGTGGCAATGCTGGTCAGGTCACTGTACTCTCCACCTGGGCAGCAGGGCTGCTGTTATAAAAAGGCCTTTCCAAGCTGACCGACCCCACGGCTCTGCTGCCAATGCCATGTATACACTGTGTTTCCAGGACCTCCGCCGGCACAGGAACGACTGTAAGAACCAGCATCTGGCCCCTGACAACACAGAGAAACCCACCTCATCATCTTACCTGTAGCATGGGCTGCTCCGATCATTCTTCCACGAATCAACCCCTCTCGCCTTGGATTTCTGATTAGTTTAATTTTTGCAGGGAGGTATTTTTGTATATACTCATCTAGTTCTCCTTTTAAATCATCTGAAAAAGACTTCCACAGTTATTCAAACTGTGCGAGGTACTAGGCAGCAGGTTCAAGGCTGCCTTAGTGCACAGTGAGACTGTTTCAAAAAACAAGAAGCCAACAGCCCAGAAGCTGTATGAGGCATGATACAGGCATTTTCCAGCTGTTCCAACATATCGTACATGCAAAACTCCACAACAAACTGTCAAGCAAATACAGAATCTTCTGCTTTGCTCCCAAAGAATTTCACAGCTTATTCTGTAGGAAGAAAAAGAGTTACGTGGGGAGTTGGAGCACTGGCCAAGACAAGTTGTCGCTGTGGTCAGAGATTTGGTTTCCATGGCCACCAGCACCAGATGTAGGTGGACATGTGACTGAGTCTCCCGAGTACATGAATGTTGGCTGGCTGCACATAAGCCACATTTACACAAGGAAAATAGATGTCAGTGGCTTCTGAGTAACTACATCCTAAATCTTACTCCATTTCAGAATACTTAAGAAATAAGTTCTAGGGCCGGGGATTTAGCTCAGTGGTTCCGCCACTTGCCTCGCAAGCACAAGGTCCCAAGTTCGATTCCCAGTACCAAAAAAAAGAAACAAATAACTTCTATTGCCCCTACCAAGAATTACATAATAGCAGCAGTAAACATGACCTTTTTATTAATTTAGTGCCTTTCTTCCAAAGTCATCAATTTTTTTTTTTTACAAAGCAAATACCCCTTTTTAATTCAATCTATTTTGTTTTTGTTTTTTCGAAACAAGGTCTCAATATGTAGCCCAGGCTGGCCTCGAACTGACAGTGATCCTCCTGCCTCAGCCTCCCAAGTGCTGGGATTACAGGCATGTACCACCATGCTCGGCAGCATCAAATATTTTTATGAATTTTAGGTCATTTATTCAACTTTGAATTTCATAATAATATTAAAGACTATATAAGATAGTAAACAGTAATTTGTTCCATAGTTACTACACAAACCACTGTAAGTCACCATGAATTTCTCCTTTTAGATAAAACCGTCACAAAATGAAAACCAAACTACAGGCTGATTTTTTAAAAAAGTCAAATTGAGCATAGTAGTACCTGCCTGTAGTCCCAGCCACCTGGGAGGCTGAAGCAGGAGGGTCTCTTGAGCTCAGGACTTCCAGGCTGGCCTGAGCAATGCTGCAAGACCTCATCTCAAAAGGAAAAAAAAAAGCTCTAGAATTTGGTATTGAGCTTATCTTCTCTGTGCTCCAGACTCAGAGGTTTGCTTATTTTTTTAAGCACCATTTTTGGAAGTAAGTTCTGAAAACTTCTAATTTTTCTTTCAAAGTTTCAGTATTCACCAAAGTCTGAGCATCTGGGTCCCTGGGTGTCAGCACTCCCCTTCCTCTGCACAGTAAGGCACACTGGGACCCCGCCTCTGTGCAGCTCTAAGGTACTTAGTGAGTCCAGAGTGCATGGAAATGTCACGGTGGTTGTGCAGGGCACCATGATTCTTGTACTTCCTGCTCTTTACTGACCTCCCCCATCTTGTAAGGTCCTAGAGAGCTGAATGAGTCAAGTCTTCCTCCTGCTTGTATATGTAAAGCCATCCTGTGTACAAATCTATGGTAGGTTCTAAAGAGGTGTGTGAAATATGCCGTGAATCAGAAAACGCTGGCACGAAAAGGTCACCTAAGAGATGTCAGAATGCAGTGCACTGTGGTGTGGGGACGGCTGGCAGAAGAGACTCACTAGGTAAATGGAGACCGAGGCACTGTGCCCATCTTAAGAGTACATACTGACTGACTGCATTTACATAACCTGTCTAAAGGACAAAATGAGGGATTAGCTGTGGCCATGGGTTAGGGATGATGGGGAAAGGAAGGGGGTGTAACTACAAAGGGATCGCATGGGGTGGGCCTCTGGGATAATGGGAGTGGCCCATGCCCTGACAACCGTGAACAGAATGACTTGGGACTACACATGCAGTATGGCATGGACATGAACTGTCCCCGAGGCTCATGGGGCACAGGCTTGGGTTCCAACACAGCAGTGTTCACAGGAGTCTTTTAGAAGTGATCATATCATAAGGGCTCCAACTTCCTCAGTGGATTAATCCAAAGACAGAATCATAATTGGATGGCATTACTGGGAGGTGATGGGAACACAGGAGGTGGGACCTAGTTCAAGGGTGTGGGGCTTGAGGGCATATCCTAGGAATGGATCTAGTCCCTGCCCGGTGTGCATGCTTTCAAACTCAGTCTCTCTGACTCCTGGCTGCCGTGGGCTGCATAGCTTCCCCTTCTCCATGCCTTTCTGCCTCATGACCAGTGCAAAAGGAATGGAGCTGACCAACTGACCAACATGGAGACCTCGGAAACTCTCAGCCAAAATAAACTTTTCCTCCTTTCAGTTGTCACTCTCGGGTTCTGTGTCACAGGTACAGAAAGTTAACACTGCATTTTACCAGTATGGAATTCCTGCTGCTTTCTGCATCACACTGTAACTATGTAAGATGTAACCAAAGAGGGGAAACTGGATATTGACTGAACAGAATCTCTTTGTAACATCCTGAGAATCTGCAATTATTTTGCAATAAATTTAAAAAAAAAGGTAAACCAAGGGAAAACTTCTAGGGCCAACTCTGGGTAGTACAGGTATAAACAGTTGACAAGGTCAGGCATTTCTTCCAATGGCCGTGTCATCAGTGGACAGGCACTGTGGCTTGGATGCACCTTACACATAGCTATGGGGCTGGTCAGCTTTGCTGATTATTGCTGGAGACTAACTTACCAAAGTCACTGTCGTCATCCACGAGGATGATTTCATGAAGCAGGTAGGCAGGCGTTCGGTCTAGCACACTGTGCACTGTCCGGAGCAAGGCAGAAAAGGCTTCGTTGTAGAAGCAAATAACAACACTAGCTACTGGCAGGTCAGTTGGGTAAGACTTCTCTTTACACCTGTAAAAAGAAAGACAAAGAAAATTGACACTTTCAAAGGTATAAAGGTCCTAGGTTGTTATTCACTAAATACTCTTCTTGTCCCCTTGTTCAGTCTCCTACATTATGATAATGATTTTTTTAAAAGCATGTAAGAAAACACTGGTTTATTTTTCAAGTGTTCCACATTTTGTTAGTTTCTCCCTCTGATATTTGCTATCTCACTTCCTTTTAGGTCCACTTTTTTTTTTTTTTTTTTTAAGACAGGGTCTCACTATGCAGTTCAGGCTGGCCTCAAACTCACAGCGATTATCCTGCTTCAGGCTCCCAAGTAAGTGCTGGGATTACAGGCATGCACTACCATGCCCCTTGAGGTCCACATTTTAAAACTTGAGGTTTTTTCCTTTTTTTGTAGAGAAGTTATATAGCATTGTGAGTTATCTTTTTAGTTTCTTGTTTTATTTTTGAGCTACCCTCAACAGCAACGAGTTATTTTTATTGGAATTACTGCAAATCTTAGATGCAGCACTCATAAGCTGATGTTTAGCTTCTCCTCAATGAGGTTTCAAAAGGAAGTAGAAATTATAAAACTTTGTATCTGAAAGTTTTACTTTTGCTCAGTAATATAACAAGATTTGAGTAAACCACAATATCCTAAGGTGACAGAAGAGAGTCTACAGAAGTGTCTAGTTGATAAACAGGGTTAGAGGGCAACAACAAAACATTCACTGAAATCCAGAGTCCCACATGCTTTCCTGGCAGGTGCTGAGGCCTGGCTTCAGCTCGTGCTGCCCTCTCACCACAGCTGCAGTGCCCTGGGCTCAGATCCCTTGCCACACCCACAGTGCCCGCTCCAGAGTCTCCAAGTTGCACACAGGGAAAAGCCTCCACTCTTGAGGCCTGGCCATGCCGGGCTGGGTCCTGCTGCCACAGACTCCTGTCTCAGCCCCCACCATGTGCTACTGCTTACTCACTGATGACCTGCCTCCCCACCAGACGCTAAGTCCTGTGCACCAGAGATCACTTCTTATCCTGTTAACTTCCAGGGCCTAATGGAATCTGCAGCAAACAGAAGTGCTCAGCAAATGTCTGTGTGAAATAACTGACTATGGGTATGAAAGGTCTTTGAAAGAAAAAAATGAAACAGAAACAACTATGTAAATAATTCTTGGATGATTTCAATTCCCCTTTGCCATGAATAAACAAGCATTTAATACAAGCTTCAGCTCAAGGTCTTTCATTCACAGACTCTCCTCTTTCCCACATGTATGAAATTTAAGAGACACAACAAGCTGACAAACATGTCCAATCTGCAGCCTCTGGCCACATGCAGCCCTAGACAGCTAGTAATGTGGCCCCCAACAGAACTGTAAACTTTTAACACTATTAGGGGATCGTTAGCGATATTTTTCATGATTCAACCGCACAGCTCTAGAGCAGACTGTGTAGGGAACAGAACCCTGCAGGGAAAACGGAAACCCATAGCCCATGTGCTTATGCAACTCAGCCAAGCAACATAGCTCTCGCCTGTAACAGTGTCTCTGCCTCCCTGAACATGTCCACCTGTGAAGACAGACATTTGCTGTTGTGAAGAAGTCGTGTAAGTTTCCTTATCTAATTATTAAACGTGGGTTTGTTATCATTTCTTAAGTTAAAATAATTTTTTACTAGCTGTGGTATAGGAAATACAAAAATGTTTTCAAATAGATTTTTAGGCTGGGGATTTAGCTCAGTGGTTTCGTCACCTGCTGCGCAAGCGCAAGGACCCGAGTTCGATCCCCGGTACCAAAAAAAAAAAAATTACATATAGAACATTGCAGATGCTAGAAAAGGAATATACAGGATTGCGATCAGACATTCAACTCAAAGAAAACTTTGATCATGGCTCTTCACTAGATTTTAGGGGGTGGTCTGAAGCAGGGCCTCCCTTTGTAGTTCAGGCTGGCCTCGAACTCGCTGGCCTCAAACTCACTGGCCTCCTACCTCAGCCTCTCAAGTGCTGGGATTACATGTGTGCACCACCATGCCCAGCTCCTTCACTAGACTTTTATTAAGACACATCTTCCCAGAGAAAACTATCCCTCGCTTCACAATGACACCTGATTTCTGTCATCACTTTTTGCAGTACATACGTTTGTGAGCAACTGTTTAAGAATGGAGCACACAAAGTAAAATTAGGTCAAAAATTTCTGATGAGATCGTTGGGAATTAAAAATTGCAATCACTTGGGCCAGGGATTTAGTTCAGTGGTTCCACCACCTGCCTCACAAGTACAAGGTCCTGAGTTGCATTCTCCAGTACAAAAAAAAAATTGCGATCACTTTATCAAATCAAACACTGATGCAACAGTTTCACAAAAACTAGATCAAATATCCCACTAGTTTTATTTTTACATTGTCCTCTTTTTAAATCTTATAATAAAAATATTTTAAAATAAGTTTTGTTCCTTATACACATTAACCATATTATATATTCATATATTTATATGCAGTCCAAGACAATTCCGCTCCACTCAGTGCAGCCCAGGCAAGCTAAGAGGTTAGGCTTTGTTCACCCATGGGGTTGAACTTTGTTAGTACAATCTCAGTCCACACAGCTTCAAGGATGAGATCTCAAGTTTTCGATATGCAGAATACTAACTGTAAAAGCTGAACACCATCCTCATAAATTTTTATACTGGACTGAAAACACTGTCATGAAAATATCAGGCAAAAGAGTAAGGCACATACACTGCATTCCTCGTGTCAGGGACATCTCTGTGGTAGCCCAGGCGGTTACTAATGAGCATATTAAAGGCATGCTTCTGATAGCCCAAATCTCTCAACTCCTGATCATGTTCACTGAAAATCATACCTGCAAAAGAGAGAAGTTACAGTCAGTGCATTAGTCTGGAAAGGGTTACCACAGTCACTGCTACAACATTAGACTCTTCCAAAGGTCTTGGCCTTATTACAACCAGATAATAGCCACCAAATCTAGGTTGTCTCTGTTTTCAAGTAAATAAACTGAGGTTGGGGCCAAACTCTTAGCAGTCTAGCGCAAAATAAGCATGCTTTATGTATAAAGGACACCTGCTAACAAGCCATAATTGAAGAACATTTTATTATATTTATGAGACAAACTTACCTGCAGCCAAGAAAAAAATTTTTTCTGGTAACTTTCCATCAAAGCAATGGATGATTAAATCCCAATGGACTGCTATAGGACCCAACCTTAGCAAGTTTTACTATGAACCCTGCCCCTCAAAATGGCTACTGATAAACCTTTCTACAAAAAAAGACTTCTGCAGACTCTAGTTTCATCATCAAATTCTTGCATGGATCTAATCACAATCACCATAATCTAACATGCTTGTTCTGATATTCTGTCAGAAATCTCATCTTTGCATAAACTGATAGCATCTCTTCTCCTTTCCCTATCAAGCCTTCAGCATCTCCTTCAAGAATGACTCCCAGTGTAATAGCATGTGTAACAGCATGTGTAACACAGGCACAGTGTAACAGCATGTGTGCATGAAAAACAAAATTTCACAGGACACTAACAGGTGTTAGAAAGAACAAATGATTTCAGAGTCAAAGAAACTGAGGAAATACTAAAGTTAAATGGGATTCTTTACAGCAGGACAACTCTGTTCTTTAATACATGGAATGTTTGAACCTTGTGTGAATGGATGAACAAGGACCATGGCAGATTCTCCTAACCACAGAACACTTAACGCCTCATTACAGGCCTTCTCCCTAGAACCATCTCAACACACACAATATTTTCCACTAGAATGAAAACTCCATGACACAAAAGGCTTTGGCTATGTTCAAAACAAATAAGAATGGCTTGATACCCAGTACCTGGAACAGTGCCTTGCACATGAGATTCTCAATAAATATTCCTGATTCAACAATCATTCAACAGAGAACCATGTCATACTAAATCCTGAAAGAACTATTTTCTAATAAAGAGCTCTTGGCAAAAAATTATTCATATTAAATGACCACTTCAACATACTTTTCTTCCCTGCTCAAATACAATTACAGCCAAACCCCAATTAATTTTCATGCCAGAGGAGTTATTTCACTTAATTTTATAATTAACTGCAGATTAACTGGAAGATGTTGGTAATCTGACATGGACTTTTTCACAGGTTCTTTTCCTAACTGTTCACTGACAATTATCTATCTCTCAGAAATCAACATGCTTTTAACTATTCATTTATACTAATTCCTTCTAAATTAAGTCTTCTGTGTGGAATTTCGAGGGCTTGTTTCAATTTTCAAGTGTGCTAATTATGCACATAACCTACAAAGTGCCATTACTGACATTTAGCACATTCAGTGTTGCACAAGCACCAAAGCAATGCAGTTGCACACACTTTCACCACTCCTAAAGGAAACCCTGGTCTCTTTGTCCCCCGGCCTCTGGCAACTACCATCTGTGTCCAGTCTCCACTGACTGGCCTATTGTGGACATTTCACAAGGACAGACTCCCACAGAAGTGACTGCCCACCACAATCTCGTCCTTTCTGAAAATCAACTGACCATAGATGTCAAAGAATTTATTTGTAGACTTAGTTCTGCTCTACTGATCTATGTCCATCCATAAAACAGCAAAAACTGGATTATTACAACTTTGCAAGAACTTTTAAAATTTTTTAAGTATGACTCCTCCAACTTTCTTTTTCAAGAGTGTTTTGGCTATTCGCAATTCCTTATTAATTTAGGATAAGCATCTCCATCTTTCAAAAAAAGGCCACTGGAAATCTGATAAAAATGGCACTGAATCTATACATTGCTTTGGGTAATATTGACATCTCAACCTATTTACTAATTCACCCTGTGATAAATGTCTTTCCACTTGTGTAAGTCTACTTTCATTTCTTTCCACATTGTTCTGTGGTTTTTAGTATACACTCACTTGGCTCAATTTATAAGCATTTTATTATTTTTGATGCTACTGTAATTTTGTTCTCTTAATTTTGTTTTTGTATCATTCATTGTTAAGGTACAGAAATACAACTCAGTTTTACATGTTGATCTAGGACCCTGCAACTGCCAAATCCATTTACTGCTTTACTAGTATATTTTGTAGATTCTTTAGGATTTTCATAAAAAATTTAGTTTTTTGTTTAGGCAATTTGAGTTTGTCATTTTATATATGTAGAGTTCTCTCCATACTTCTTCATTCTTCACTCAAATACAAACCACTCAAAATATAAATTCAGTGTTACTTCTTTATAAAACTTTTACCAAAATAAACATGAATGAAAAGCTAAAAATTTTTCTACTAATACTTTTAAAATGTAAAGTGTTTAGGCCCGGGGATTTAGCTCAGTGGTTTGGCTACCTGCTGTGCAAGCACAAGGACCTGAGTTCAATCCCCAGTACCAAAAAAAAAAAAAAAAAAAGAAAGTAGTGTTTGAAAAAGATTATAAGGTATATATTACAAAAGCTGCAGGAGGTATTAGTCTGTTTCCACATATAATTTTAATTGACTTCCTTTATTATACTTCTCTAAAACTATAACCACATGACATGCCTGGGCTTTTTTGTTGTTATTTTTGGGGGGTTTTTTTTGTTTTTCCAGACAGGGTCTCGTTACATGGTTCAGGCTGGCCTTGAACTCACTATGTATTCCAGGCTGGCCTCGAGGTGATCTTCCTGCCTCAGCCTCCCAAGTGCTAGGACTATAGGTGTGTGCCACCACGCCCAGCTGAAATGTCTGTTTTAACATTTGCTTATTATATAACTCTTGCAATCGCTCAAAATCACTTATTATACGTTTTTAATGTTAAATTATTTTATGTTTCTATGATGAGGTCAAAGTTTTTTTTTACATTTTGAAGATAACCAAAATGGTTCACTTATCCCTTAGATTTGCTAAAGCCGGGACTATAGAGCTGTAGTATTCAAAGGCATATATAGCAGAATCTTGTTTCCAAATTAAACAATTTGGGAGAAAGGAAGCTTTCTATTTTATAATAAAGTCTTATAAACTATATTATATATTTTTGCATTCATTCATTTATTTCAAGGCCTTGTCATAAGTGGAAATCTTATATATGAGTAATCTTAGCTTGTTTCTAAATCTAATACTTTATGCTGTTATAATTTTGTCTTCAAATAAATACAGTCATCTTAAGTTAAATACAGTCATCTTTCAACCATTCCTTTCCCTTGTCAAGTTATCCCAGCAATTAAAAACCTTCTCCTATAGGTTCTACAGTATTTTCTTTCTAGATCTTCTTCATTCTTTTTTCTTCTTCTCTGAATCTTATTAAGTTTCTCAAGTCATCATAAAATAGTAAAGTCAGAGCTGGAAAAAATATGAACATAATTCCCTCTAAGTCTACAAAAATAATACAATTTCAGCTAGTTCCCAAACAGAACAAATCGGTATTGGGGGAGTGGTGGTAGTGGTGGCACATTTCTAGTCTTCTGAGCAACACATGATTTGAAAAATAAACTTCTAATGAGTAAATACTCTGATAGTGCTTTTAGTAAAGGTCAAATGCACTTACCCAATTCAGAAGAGAATTTCAGGTGGCCTTTTTCTGGATCTTCAATTTGATTATCTATCATATCATCAATTTTGTTTGCTTTAAACTGTGGATCTAATATTCTACTTGGACC